TAAATAAAATTCCTTTTCTTATATAATCTTAATAGAAAAAAATATAGTAATATACAAAATATTTTTATCTTACTTATCATCTTTATCAAAATTTAATATATATAAAAGGGGTAAGATTTTGAAAAAGAAAAAAATTTCTTTGAACTATCTTGAACGCATATAACTCAAAAGATGAAAAGTTAAAAATATATAAATTTATCTCATTTTTTCTTTATATGAATTTATTTTGTTTGAAGATACTTTCTTTATAAAGAATAATTGTTTTATTGGATGAAATTATAGAATATAAGCATTTTTACTTCTAATTTAAATATTTTTTTAATATAACAATATACTTAAATAAATTAGTGTGATGAGTTTAACAATTTTTAAAGCATGAACTTGGCCGTACTTGTCATAAAAATATTTTGGGAAAATGTAATTTTAGGGTTTAGATATATAAAACTCATTTCTTTTATATGGATTATCATCATATTTGTTAGAGTATAAATCATTAGATTATTGGAGTTAATTTAATTTGTATAAATTAAATTTAATTATATGGATTTAGTTGATTCAATTTTTGGTAACAGCATAATTACCCCTATTTAACTATAATTAGATTGGATTATATTATAGAGTTATAAAATTTTAAAAAATATTTATTAAAAAATGTTTTCAAATAAATATTTGGAATATTTTTTGTTAATTATAAATAAAGATAATACTTATAATATATAAATAATAAAAATATTAAATTTTTATATTAAAATTATTTGTTCATTAAAATTTTTACATTAAATTTTTGTATCTATTATACAACTGAATTCTAATTAAATATACAAAACAAAACTTAATTTAATTTTAATATTTAAATTAAATTAGGTTACTACAACATGTATATAAATTAGATTCAATTTATTTATATTTATAATACTTTCAATGAAAAAAATAATTTATTTAAAAAAAAGTACAATTTTTATAGGAACAGACAGACACATTTGCGACAAAATTAGGTTTGAAACACCGAATTTTAACAGGTTTTTTTATTATTTTTTATTTTAATAATTTTAAAATTAAATAAAAATATTTATATATTATATATTTATAAATAATATTATAAAATAAACAGTTTATTAATATAAAATAATAAATATATTATATTATAAAAAATTAAATGTTATTTATATAATTAGAATTGTAAAAAGGCGTTTCAATCAATCTGATCAAGTCCTAGAATTAACTAAAAAAAATAATTTGATGTAACAGTTTCATTTTTACTTAAAATAAATAAAAACTTTTAGTCAAACTTAATCTATGTTATGTCAGGCTAACATGGCTCATTCATTTTTTTCTAATTATTAATATATTAATATAAAATTAATTATTAAAAATATTTAAATAAAAATAACAAATATTTTGAAAATTTAAATTTTATTAATAAAATTAGTTTTTTAAGATATAATAATTTAATATATAATTATAAAAATATACACCCGTTAAATCTTAAAATAAAATTTAAAAATGTATTCTTTTATTATTATTATTATTATTTATTTTTAATAATTTATTAGTTTAAAATAATAGTTAATATTAATAATTAAATGTTGAAATAAATTATTATTAGAGATTTATTTTAATAATTATTTTTAGAATTTATAAATATTGTTAAATTAATTTGTAATATATATATATTTTTAATAAAATAATATTATATTTTTATTTAAAAAATAATAATTATTTTATAAAATAGATTGAATTATAAATCTATGAACTAATTTGACTTAAGTCTATATAAATCATAATTTAAATAAGTCAAACTAAAATATGACTAATTTAATTTAGGTTACAATTATTTTGGATCATTCCATAAAATTAAGATTTTTTTGACACCCATATATATATATATATATATATATATATATATATATATATATAGTAAAAAAAAATTCCAAAACTTTTATAAGCACTTAGAGTTTATTTCAAAAAATTTGTTGTCTAAAATACATTGAAAATTCAATTACCTTGTGTTATTTTTTTTTCCTTTTGCTTTTTTTCAAAAAGATATCTCTTTTAAGGAGATTGATGATCAATCTTTATCTTCTTGCATGCATCTCCATATATATATATATATATATATATATATATATATATATATATATATATATATATATTGAAAAGTACTTAGCTACTGCTGGTTTTAAGGAAACATGATTACTATACTCAGAATCGAAAGCATGTAGTGGTTTAGAAAAATGTAGAGTTAAGCATTCCATTATGGTTTGGGACCACTTAATCCAAACACTTGAACCATAATTTGTTAAACAAATATGGAAATCTATAAACTGACACTAATAATGTTATTTTAGATGACTCAAAAGTTAGAACATTGTATCATATATAAAAAAAGAAAATTATATATTACTTCTATCTCTTAGTTTGGATTGAATTCAAACTTTAAAGTGAAACATAAAAAATCATAAAACAAAAAATTAGAGAAATCTTAATACAAAACAAAACAACATCAAGGTTAATAAACATTAAAGAAACTTTTATATCTACTAATTCATCATTTATCCAAGTACATACAACATTTTTAAGTTAAATTTTCCATTTCAATTATTTTGATTCCTCCTATAAAAATAAATACATGTAGTAAAAATAGCATAAAAACATTATTTTAATATTATACTATAAGATAAAATTATTATTAATGAAATAAATTAAATTTGTGACATATAAAAACTTCATACAAATTAAAATTATATTAACTTACATTTTAATTTGATTAGTTTTAAATATGTTTTATATTATGAATAATAATTAAAGACAACATTTTTATTAAAACATATAGTGAAACTAAAATAATTCATAATAATTTATTTAAAATGATTATTAACGAAAGAAAATCAGATACACATAAATATATGCAGCTATATTTTTACTAACTTATTTATATTATATTAGTATATATACATCTAACTTTTTTTTTATTTAACTAAAATACATTCCATAAAAAAGTTCTCTTAAACAATTAGTAAACACAAAAACTTTAATGAATATTGTAATGTGTCTATATATTTTTTTCTTATTAAATATTGTAACAATAGTTTTTAGGCTTTAATGTATTTTTGTTTCTACATTTTAGGAAATCCACAATTTTGTTTCCTAAATATATTTTCAGAAATTTTAGTCTCTTGATTTTAATTATCCATAGTTTTGGCCTTTGAAATTTGTTTACTCAATTTTGATCCCTTGATTTTAATTATTCATAGTTTTGGTCTTTGAATGACCCTTGAGCATAATTTCTATTTAAAACTAAATTTTTGAAATATATGTGTGTATTAACAAATTGAAAGGTGTTGTTGAAAGAGACAAGTTAAAACATGTTTTGTTGATTGTTTGCTTGGGAGGATGAAAGAAACAACCTCTCCCATGTTTGCTTTTAACCAAAGTAGCAGAAAATACGACTTTCTAAATATTAACGTTTTTCGCACTGTTGACTTCAATGGGCAACGTTATTGGATTTTAATGGAATTGTGCTATAAAGGGGCCAAAAACTTCTGGTATGCTATGTTTGTATCAGTTCATTTAATTAAAGAGAAAAAAATTTCAATTATTTGCACATAAATTATGTGTCTTTTATCAATTCATTTAGGCTAATTTGTAAAGATTAAAAAGTTAGAAAGCTTTCTTTCTAAACATGAGAAGATAAGAAGAGAAAGTATGTCTCAATTTTATTTTATTTTATCGACATAATACGTTCTCAATTCAAAATACAGTTCGCAAGTCACCGTATAATTGATTATGTGTTTTTTTATTATGTTTTTTACAATATTAATATATAATTATAACATAATGTTAAAAAATAAATAAAAAATTTATATTTTCATATTTTCTAAATACTATTTAATTTATTTTTTTAGTTGCCAAATTTTATTAGATTTCGGATAAAAATATATGCTCCTTCTGGTACTTTTAATAATTTATAAATATATAATTATAACTTTAGTAGTTAAAAAGTTTTAATATATAATACGTGGATAATTTTAAATTTGCTTTTATGATTAAATTATATTTTAATTTAAAAATATATCATTAGCATTTGAATATTTTTAATTTTAATTTTTTTCAACTGATATCTGAAAAAAAATTGTATATGATTTATAATTAATTATTTTTAAATAATTATTTAATATCATTTCAAAATTTGGAAACATAATTATTTCATACTTATTTGTATTTATTTTTAATTCATATTCTTTTTTATTCAATTTTAATAACAAATATTTTAGTAATTCATTAAATTACTTGATTAATATATTCTTTTATTATTTTAAATAAAGTCAACTACAAAAATTTTATTCATTTTTTCTCGTTTTCTAGTCTGTTTTTTAATCATTTTCTATTATATTGGTCTTCTTTTCTTTACAATAGTAATGAAAGTTAGCTGAAAGATACATTCAATATAATATCTACCAAACACAGTCCTGAAATCCATAGCAAGCACAGAAGCTCTTCACTTTGGATGAACAAAGGCACTTGTTAAGTCAAACCAACGCATGCAAAATAAATTTTTCATTGCAAGAACCATTTCTACTTTTCCAACAGGGGAAAAAAATCTCAGCCTGTATATCACTCTCTCTCAATGTGTATAAAAAAATACAAATCGCCACTATTTTCCATTACAATGGCAGCCAATGTGCCCAAATGTCTCTAAAAATAGGAGGGGATAAAAGAAATAAAAACAGATTAGAGGGAAAAAAAGAATAATTAAAATGCTAGCAAAATCTTCTCCGTATGATTTCTACACTAAGCCTACGATCTATACCTGAAATTTACACAAGCGCTTGGGTAATGATCGGGAAAATCCCCATGAGTCCAAAAACTGGAATGCCCGTCATGACAGCCAGAAGAGCTTCTATCATTCTCTTTTTAAAAAAATAAAAATAAATTTCCCCCACACTTCACGGGACAGATTTCTTCAGAACTTTGGCCATGGCAAGGAGTAAGTCAAAAAATTAAGTAATAAGGTCAGCATGATCGTAGCTTGGTGGAGACAACGGTGGGATTGCAGATGGGAGTGAGTCATCTATAACTTCAGAAATTCTTCTTGCAGTTGCCTGGGATAACCCGCCAGCATCAATTTTTCTAGAAGATATCATATCTGATCTGGAATTCCTAGTTGAATTGCTACTGTCAACAGATTCTAAAAATTTATCTTTTGATAACTTCGTTTCAGCAGCTTTTATAATCACAGTGTTAAAAACACCAGATTCCCTCAAACTTTGAATAATTATCTGCAAATGAATTTTGTGAAGAAGTTTGCCTCAGTGACTGTTTCTAACAACTAAGCTGATGATAGCTATGTAAATTGTTTGGATAGAGACCAGAAAGCAAATTTCAGGTATGTGAACTTACCATGGGAGCATAAATACGTGTCAAGATGCCTTTCCTCATAAGTTTCATGTTAAGTGCTTTGTCAGTCCAGACAATGCGTTCACGATACCTATGTGAAAGAAAAGGCTCATTTAAAACAAATAGTTCAACTGCTTATCTACCTTGAACCCCTTTTGAATAATAATAGGATCAGTAACTTAGAAAAAAAAAAAAAAAAAACTATGTAATTGTTATCATTACTTACCATTGAAGCATTTCATCCTCAGTTGCAGTTGAAGCAATTATGAATGCCTAAACAGAAGAGTTGTGTCAGATTAAAATAATAACGTACATGGATACAGTGTCACCCTCCCCCCCCCCCCTCAAAAAAAGAAAAGCAGGCAAACAAGCTAGAAAGTAAAGAACAAAAGCATGACAAAACAACTACTATGTCATTAGACAAGCCATGAAAAAACATAAAAGGAAGGAAGCATTGATTCTAAGAAAAACCATGCAGAAAAATAACAAAACAAGAGTTCTGCTCTGATTCAACTTGGAAAACTTTGGATGGCCTTAAACAAACATCAAATTGTCAAGTCCATTAGATAATCTTTGGAATATAAGAAAGTAATCGCAACTAATAATTTACTTATTAACCTAGAAAAAACTGCTAACATTTATAACTACAAGGAACTAGAGCATGTAAACGGCAACTATAACTTACAGATCTATCAAAATCCAACATGAAGCATCTTTTAACATCTTCTTTTGTAGGCTTACAACCACACCGATCACGTCTTGAAGTCAAATCAGAAAACTTGGTATAGGTGTAATGCAGAACAGCAGCTTCTTCCAACTTTATCTCACTGATGAAAGATTTCGCATACAGATCAGTGTAAAATATAGACACAAAACAATGCATTTTCACTGATATCTATTAACATTAGGACTTTAAACATTTTATTCAAATGATACACAGAAATTAATGACAGTAAGCAGCTACCAAGTATTTCAGAAAAAGGTCAAACAGAAGACAAAAAGTCAGTAATTTATTTGAGACCTACCAAAACAACAAAGGCCTGTACAAGATAGCATGTATTGCTGCCAGATTAGGAAGGTGAGACAATATGAGATCAACAGTTTACACTAAGCTTGAAATAATTACAAGGTAACATTTATATGATAAGAAACCACTCATAATTTCTAATGATTAACCTTTCAGCAGGTCAGCTGAGCATTTATTAAACTCCAAAATACATGCAGATTCAGTAAATCATGTTGGTTGTAAAAATGAATACATATGCACATGTCTTATACACACACATAAATTAGTGACAAGCACGTTCAACATACTTAGGTGACTTCATATAGTTGTGCCATCTGTGGGCACCGTTAGGGCGGAGATGATCCTGAATCCTGGCAGCCGATTTCCCATTTCCATAGGTAAGAAAATAGTTTGGGTTGCCCCGGGTTGCTTCTTTGTAATTTCCAAAATACACATCCTTTGGAAGATGGTCATAGTTCTTCTTGAACATTGAAACCTATGATGAAATAAAAGTTAAGTGTGTCAATAAACACATGGTTTCGAAAAGGATAAAGAAGTTGGAACAAAGAAAAGCATTAGCAAAACGGCTCCAAGAAATAGTAAAAATCTGGAACTGCTTACGAATGACTTGTTTGGACAAACTTCTTCATAAGGACTTTTCTAGGATAGAAAAATAAGCAGAAAAAAATGAAATGGGTTTCTCGAATGGATAAAAATAGCTTATTCATAAAAGCTCTTAGTTTCTGAATCACACAATTCTACCAAGTTAGCTTCTGCCTCATTTATATTCAATAGACATTATTAAAACTTTAAAAGAATCTTGCAATAAAGTATAAAATTCTAAATAGCGCATCTCCATTTGCTATTTTCTGTGCTGTAAACATTGCATAAAAGGTTCATTATAAAACATACACAGAACTCTAAGTATGAAAGTATATGCATGTCTTCTTTTGTATAATAGATATATATAACACGTCATGTAGGATTCAATATGTTGTCGATTAGGTAATTTATTTTCTCTTACAGACTAGATGCAAGCACATGAGGGGTACAGAAGTAAGAAATGCAGTGGAACATGATTTACCCACTCCTGCTGTCATTGTCTTTGATTTAGGTGGCAAAAACCGCCACTCCAGGCAGGTATGGCAACCGTTGGAGGTGCGGCAGAAATTGTGATTCATGCAATTACAAAACGATTCTGGTGATAGCTAGCTATGCAAGTCATGCCTAAAAGATACAACCTCCAATTCACATCACTAGCAGATGGAATCACATTATCTCGATTGTATCATATTTAAATTTCAATTTCAATACACATGATACTAGCTACACTGGTTTAAAATATTAGATAAGCCATTTAAACAAATACCTCACTGAATGGCTCTTTGATATCATCTCGCTCCACACTGCTTTCCTGAAACAAATAACATTCCATAAATAAGTTTAATATCAATGAACATCTAAAGGGCAAAAAGAATACAGTTCTATCAACTATATAATGATAGTAAATTCGGGATCTAAATAAAATTCATTGCACTCACATAATTAGGAAAAATGACCATATCAACATTTCCAGGCACATTAGCTAATAACTGTCTTAAAGAGTACTCTTGTGTTCCTGCTGGATGCATCAGCTCATCAGTGTCCAGATGGATGATCCAATCCATTCCAGCATCCTAAAGAAAAAAGATGTGAAAAACTAAACTACAATGTTAAATGTATGATAATAATTAATCCAATAAAAGAAATCATATACCCTTGCCATGACAATAGCCATTTCCATGTTCAAAGATTGCTTCACAAACAACTCATAGTTACATGGTTTGTAGAAGAAGCTTGACAACCAAGTCTCATTCCATATTCGACTGAAATAATAAAAATAATAGAAATACCCAAATTAAGGAACAAATCATCATATGAAAATACTTAGAAACATTATGGGGAGGTTGCAAACTTTAGCATATAATTTTAAAATCCAGAAACTCAATACAAAAAATATATTTATGAAGATTATATTAGAAACTACTGATCTCAATATCTTTAGCTGTGAGTGGAACAAGAACCCTCCAACAATAAATTTTATATTTAAACCAACCCAACACTTTAAGATGCTTGGTATTTCATCTTATATGTGCAAGTCATATCATAATCCATTATTCTATCTAAAAGAGAGCAAGATTCAGTATACTTGGCTAAAACTAGTGCTAGGATGTTCTTCACAACTAAAACTGACGTCCATCATGGTCACAGAACAGCAACCCCTCCCACCGTCCCAAGAGTTCAACTCGATACAATAATCTTTATTAATATGAAAGATACAGAGACAGGGAAGGAATCACAAAGATAAATTGGTATTTGTAAAAGGGAAAGAAAATTAATTAAGGGTATACTAGACAATTCGTAAAAATGTTTTCATGTTCAAGAATTACAAGATAATAAGAATGGAAATATCATGACAGACAAGAAAAAGTAATAGAATACTTGACCAATCAAGCCTTGATCTAAGTTGGAAGAATTATTTGACCAAAAGAGTTTAACTGTTTTAGCCATGATTTAACTGTTCAATTCTGCTTTAACAAGGGATAAAAAAAGAAACAAAATTTTATGTGGATCAGAACCAGGATCACATCAATTTTTACATATGCCAGCAAGATCTTCCAAGACAAGCATTTGATCACATCCATAATCTGAATCCGATCATCATGTCTCCAAATAGGCATGCATTTAGATTTATTTAGATAAAAACAAGCCAAAATAAAATTTCTAAAAAATATAAGAACTATTGCAATCCACAACAGAAACAGTGGCTTGTGGGATAACTCAAGCTCATACCTCCACCAAAGATCTCCATCAAAGATCCGTATCAACAAACTAACCACAAATTTATCAAACAATTCAACAATAAATCTCCACCAAAGATCCGTATCAACAAACTATACACAGACCAGATCCAGATTGCATCTCAAACTTCAAACAAAGAAAAAAATACCACCAGCACAGAATTACACTTAATAAAACAGTAAAAAAAAATAAAAATCAAATTACACAAAGATTTCAAATCCCACACTCTACAAGTTCGTTTGAAAAAAAAAAAAAAAAGTCACCACTCAAACAGTAAAAAAAAAAAAAAAACTTTTTTCCATCCAAAAAAAAAGTCTCAAAGTGAAACAAATGAAAAATACCTTTTAGCTTGCTGCTCCTCTAACTCCCTTGTTCTAAACACAACCTTCACCCCCTGATTCAAAAAAACACGTTTCAAATTCCAATCAAAGATCCAAACAAAATCGACATCAATCACGGGACAATAAAAAACGAAATGAACTCACGGGAATGCTCTCTAAAACCCTAGTGACATTAGGCGATGCGGCCTTCCCTTCGACGAAGAGAAGGAAGCTAGAGACTCCGATGACCTTGTGGTAGAAGATCCACGGCAGCGTCTGCTCCAGCCCCGCGGATGTGCTCGTGGTGATACATATCTGACAGAATTTCAAAAAAAAAAAAAAAAAAAAAAGTCAACACGGAGAATCAGAAATCCCAAATTCAAAAAGAACGATTATGATGGTGGTTGCGGAGTTAATAGGAAGGGTTTATGATGGGAGTAGGGAACCTTGGGGGAGAGGTGGGAGGAGTAATCGAAGCTCCAGTCGCGGAAGTAGGGGAAGGAAGGGTTAAGAGATTGCGAGAGGGGGTTGGCGCAATCGGAGGAGCGGCGGGAGGGAGGGGAATCGGCGGAGGACATGCCGGGGAACTGAGGTTGATCGGGTGACCAGCGGGTGAGGGGGTCGGTGAGGCCCCCGCGCCATTGGAGGATGAAGGCGAGGGAGGCGAGGGTGAGGGGGAGGAGAGTGAGGAGGAGGAGGAGGCGCGAGGAGGATGGTGGTTGTTGGGGCTGAAATTGTCTGTGGAAGAGCGCACCCGCCATCGGTGGAACTGCGAGGGATCAAAGTGGAGGTATCACATAGATGGAAAGAAAATGTTGTTGTTTATATATTGTTTTGTTAGGTGTGTGTAAGTGTGGTGAGGGGAATGGAATGGAAGAAAAGAAAAAATGAGAGAGACGACTCACTCGAAACTGAAATACATACACGTTAAGAATAACAACATCTGAAAGGAGCCGTTTTGTCGTTGCCATTTTCGTTTTTCTAAACAGTTTTCAACTTTTATCTATTATTAAATTTATTGTTTTAAAATAATAAAATTTATATAAGCTGGAATAGCTCAGTTGGTTAGAGCGTGTGGCTGTTAACCACAAGGTCGGAGGTTCAAGCCCTCCTTCTAGCGTTTTATATTTTCGGTAAAAAATTAATAACAATAATATCAATGAATATTTATAATTCATTAAACAGCCCCGTGCCGTGTGGGGCAACTAGCATAGCCAATTCACATTCAATAAATAACTAATTTTATTTTTTTTCTTAAAAAACAAAAAGTTCTCCTCTTCATCTTGAAAGGATTCAAAAACATGGCATGTCACTTTATTCAACTTTTTGTTTTTAGCACAAGGTGCATCCCATACATGACATGGATGAAAATTCTAGGAGATTCCATGAGGCTAAAACTAAAATCAATTATATCAAACTTTTATTTAAAAACCCATATTGAATATATGTTTGTTTATACTTTAAAAAAAATCATTTACTAAATAGTGATTATTGTATAAATTTTTATGTTTTAAAAAAATCTACCACATTTTTGTATTTAAAACTACTCCAAATTATAACTAAAAACAAAAGAGAGAGAAAAAATGAGAGTTGAAAACTATTTGTGTTATCATTAATATCTCTTAATTAATATTGGGGGTATTAGATTCGTCAATGTCAAATTTATCTCTTACAATAACATATTTTCATGTGTGTATATAGCTGGAATAAAACTCTAAATTGCACATTTAAAGACGCAGTTTATCTATTTATTGTAAGTACTTCTCTCCTCTATGCATAATTATTAGCTTCAAATAAAAAGACCGAAGTTACTTGTTTAATATGTTGAAAGGAATATAAAAAAATGTAGAAACATTTAAACAACTAAGTTTATAAGTTTGTAATAATAACACATTTAACATGCTCAAAACATAAAATTAAGCAATAAAAATTCACAATTACAGATTTAACGGATAATTTATTAAATATTATATTTTTGGTTTTATCTTTGTAATATGTAGATAATTTATTTTAATCTGTATGAAATATTGAGTTCTTTTGTTTAAGCCTATTTTAGAAAAATAAAAGTTTTTTGATAATTTTTTTTAATTTTAATGTGGATAAATTTATTTAAAATTTAGTAAAAAATGTTTGTTTTTTTTACTATAAGCAACTTAGAAAACAGATATGGCACCACATCATTTATTTATATATATAGGTGGAGAAAAGGGGTGACATAGTGATACCATGACCATCCAAACTTTAATAAATTTTTTAATATTATAAAAAAAATATTAGCCCTAAAGTTTTCTTTAAATTCGGTTTCCAAAAGTTTTAGTTCCATAAAAATAAATTTCTGCCTTTACCATTATATATATATATATATATATATATATATATATATATATATATATATATATATATATATATATGATAACCATTTAAAATAAATTACTTTTTTACAATGAATTTTTAAAGCATAAGTAAGAAAAACAAAAAAAAATCCAGAAAACTAAAGATAATAAAAATACTAAAACTACAAAAATTGCAGAAACCAATATTCATATATTTTAAAAAATACAGAACGTGAATTTTGGAAATTTTAAGAGAGGATTTTACTCTGTTGTCACGTCAACGTTGAATGAGACTTGAGATACCTCGATTCATCAGCCCAAATGTCAATTATTTTTATATATGTTGGCTACCTAAGTTGAGCTTTTCCTGCAAACAAAGACATTAAAAATGAAAGAAAAAGAAAGTTAGAATGAGAAAAAAAATAGTTAAATTATTTGATTGAAGTGAAATAATAGAAAAGAAAATATGTATTTTATTTGGAAAAGTAAAATTTTTGATAAATTATTTTTTATTCGTAGTTTGTTTTAGTTTTTATTTGATCATGTGTAGGTATTATATTTAATAAGTGTTTGTTTCCGTAAAACCACGGCACATGGGTGTAGAGATAAGTTTTTCATATCTTTATGTATATTTTAATATTTTATCATGTTAATTATTTTAAACTTTAGAAGTTTTTTCTTACATTGATTTTTTTAAAATATTATTTACTCGCATAAAAACACAACCATCATAAAGTGTGGGGAAACTCCTACTCTTTCAAGATCTACTTAACCGAGAAATAACGTGACTTATATATTTTTGTTGGTCACTTCATCTATCAATTAAATTTAAAATAAAATTGAATATAAAGGATAAGTTACTTATTAGTATAACATAATTATGATATATTATCTTTTACTTTATTAATTATATCTTTTAATTCTTCATGGATGATCTATATGTGGTACTCATTTAAATTTATGTCAATTAATTTTAAATTAAAATAGAACTTAAAATGACAAGTTACTTACTATTACAAAATGATTATGATATATTATCTTTTAATTTATTAATTACATAGAATAAATTAATTAGAATTATAAAATGGTTAAGGTATATTAACTTTGAATCTATTAATTGCATCTCTTATCATCATATAATTGACATTTGATATCCCACTACCTTGATTGAATTACTCAAAAAGATCTTCACTTATATCTGTCAAGTTATTTTCCCAAATTGATATGTCCAAAAATTATAGAATTAGAACATATTTAATCATGTAACAGGTTACACACACAAGGTTTATTTCATAAAACTTTTCAAACGTTTCAATCACTGGTGGATCGCAGCCCAACCTAGAGTAACTAAAAGTGGGCCAATTTTAATGAAGTTAAGTTAACAGTTAGGTCATATAAGCTAACTTTAAATATAAGATTGACACTATTAATTTATTTACTTTTAACTTAAAATCTTTTTTAGTCTCTACAATTTCGTGTATATATATGTCTTTGTCTAGTTTGATTATTTTAAAAATATTTTTTATTATTTTAATAAGCAATCCTATCTGTTTATTAAATAAGGGATTATTTTAAAATTACTTATTTCAAAAGCATTACATTAAGTTTAAACAAACTAGCTCATTAAGAGCGAATTAAAATTGTTTAATTTTAAGAATCTACAGGATTAAATCTATCAAAATTTTATATTCGCAAAGCTATGAGGACCAATAGTGTATTTAAATAACTAATTTTCTAAAATGATCAAGAGCGTGTTTTCATTTTCTTTAATTTATGTTATATCATATTTTAATTTATTAAAATTACCGAAAAGCTCACGCCAATGTGCTCGTTTCAAAAACAATTTTATTTTCCTCAGTTCAAAATCTAAATTTAATAAAATCTGAAGTAGTCCATATGTTTAAAATTAGGATTAAATAAAAAATTATTGAAGCATATAAATTGTGACTTCTAATATGTAGTTGGAAGTGGAACCACTTCAATAAATATCAACGTTATGAAGCTGAAAGCGAGCGTGAGTGCGAGAGAGCATAGATAGAAAGAGTGTGCAGCAGCGACGATCGATGCTTACGAAACTGTGATTCCAGTTTCCATACAATGGCATCGGTGCGCGAAGCTCCGGCGTGGAAGTTCCACGTGTTTCTGAGTTTCAGAGGAGAGGACACGCGCAACGGTTTTACGGACCATCTCTACGCTGCGTTTAGGGGACTCGGCTTTGCTGTTTTCAGAGATGACGAAGAGCTGGAGAGAGGAGAAGTCATTGCGCTCGCGCTTCTGGAGGCGATCGAAGTGTCTCTGTGTTCCGTGGTGGTTCTCTCGCCGCGTTATGCCTCTTCGCGGTGGTGCTTGAACGAGCTCCTCAAGATACTGGAATCGCGAGCGGAGTTCGGTCGGCACGTTTTGCCGATCTTCTACGACGTGGATCCCTCAGACGTCAGACATCAACGAGGATCGTTCGCCGATGCTTTTGCGAAGCATGTGGAGAGGTTTGGGAGCTGTGAGGTTCGGAGGTGGAGACAAGCGTTGAAGGATGTTGCGGATTTGTCTGGCTGGACCTCTAAGGATAAGTAAGTCCAGTAATTTAACTAAGATATAAACGATTAATTACTGGATAAAACTTTATTAGTCTGATATAGGCACTAACTAGTGATGTTGTACAGTTAAATTTGGTTTAGTATTTTACTTTAGAATTTACATTTATTAAATAGATTACATATACACTAGAACAGACTATTCTAGTGATACAGAATGTACGTTTTGTCCGTAATTTAACCAGGAATTTATTATTTCTAGAAAACAAAGCCGATTATCACTGAATGATTTTGGCGAAATGTGAATAAATTTTTTATAAGAAAATAATAAAAATTAGAGATAAAATTGGTTGCCTTTTTTCAATAAGTCAAAATAATAGGTACTTAATGTTAAAACTCATGGTAGAGAAAAGAGAGTAAAAAGTGCACCAGCATTCTTATGCAGAAAAAAAACTTCATATTATTGAACTCATGAATAATATACCAACATATTATATATATATATATATATATATATATATATATATATATATATATAAAATAACTAGCTAAGATATAAACAGAATATAAAAACCTAACCTAACAAACTGTAACAGTCCCCCTCAAGATGGAATGTATATATTATACATTCCAAGCTTGGACATGAGAACAACAAAAGGACCAGAGGCTAGAGGTTTAGTTAGAATATCGGCAATTTGGTCCTTTGAGGCAATTGGCATGAGATGAAGAAAACCAGATTGGACTTTTTCTCGTACAGTGTGATAATCAATGTCTATATGTTTGGTACGCTCGTGGAAGACAGGATTGATAGCGATATATCTTGCCGATTGATTATCACAGAATAGTACAACAGGAGAAGGGGAAGATAGTCCAAAATCCTGCAGAAGATAAACAAGCCATTGAGCCTCACAAGTGGCCAAAGCCATGACTCTGTATTCAACTTCTGAAGAAGATCTGGAAACCACATACTGTTTCTTGCTTTTCCAAGAGATGAGTGACTGTCCTAGAAAGAAACAAAAACCAGTAGTGGATCTTCTAGAATCCAAACAAGTACCCCAATCAGAATCAGTAAAACCAGTGAGTTTAAGATCTGAAATAGAAGGAAACAATAATCCTTTTCCAGGAGCATTCTTGATGTACTTCAACACCCGAAGAGCAGCTTGATAATGAGTAGTAGTGGGACAATCAAGAAATTGACTTAATCTACCAATCACATAGGATATGTCAGGTCTAGTATTGGTTAAATAGATTAGTCTACCAAGCAATCTTCTGTATTTAGTAACATCTTCAAAAGCGGGACCAGAATTTTTGTGAAGATGGTTAGTGTGATCCATGGGAGTAGGAGAGGGTTTGGAAGCTAGAAGGCCAGTGTCCTGAAGTAAATCCAAAGCATACTTTCTTTGATAAAGGCAAATACATTTGGCATACCTTGCAACTTCAAATCCTAAGAAAAATTTGAGCTTACCAAGATCCTTAATACCAAACTCTCTGTGAAGAACTTGCTTGACATTATTAATCTCATCTAAATCCTCACTAGCTAGAACCAAATCATCAACATAAGTGAGAATCGCTGTGAAGCCTTTAGATGATCTTTTTGTGAACAATGAATAATCAGCTTTGGATTGAGAATAGTTTAAAGAAAGAAGAACCTCAGTAAGTTTAACATTCCATTGTCTGTTGGCTTGTCTAAGACCGTAGATAGACTTGGTAAGCTTGCAAACAAGATTCGTGTTCTGCAGTGTAAGTCCTGGTGGAGGTTCCATATAAACTTCTTCATCAGTGTCCCATGCAAGAAGGCAGTATTTACATCCAGTTGATGTAAATGCCAATTAGAAGCAGAGGCAATTGAAAGTAGTATTCTGATGGTAGTTATTTTCACCACAGGACTGAAAGTCTCCAGAAAATCAGCCCCTTCAATTTGTGTGAAACCTTTTGCTACAAGCCTGGCTTTATGCCTCTCAATTGACCCATTTGCATTATGCTTAATTTTGAAAACCCATTTGCATTTGATAAGCTTTTTTCCAGGAGGAAGAGAGGTTAAAACCCAAGTTTGATTCTTATCCAAAGCCCGTAACTCAGCATTGATAGCATCCTTCCAACAATCGTGTTGAACAGCCTCCTTATAAGTTTTTGGCTCAGGCATAGAAAGATCTGCAATCTTGTTGCTTACTATTTTTTTTTTTCTTTTTTAAATGGCAAGTCTCTTATTGTCATAGCTCTAGACCAAGCATGATAGTTATCTCCTTTCAGAATGATAGGAACAATAGAAACACAAGGATTTTCATTATTAGGCAAATAATAAGGATTCAATTGATCCAATACGAGACTTGCCATTTAAAAAAAAAATAAAAAAATAGTAAGCAACAAGATTGCAGATCTTTATATGCCTTGAAACAAGAACAATACAGAATACCTTCAAGATTCAAAACCAATCTTCAAGAAACCAATCATCTTACCAAGCTTGTAAACGAGTTTAATACGCAGCGGATCTCCCTAAGAAAGGAGTTCGATACCATGTTAAAACTCATGGTAGAGAAAAGAGAGTAAAAAGTACACCAGACATTCTTATGCAGAAAAAAACTTCATATTATTGAACTCATGAATAATATACCAACATATATATATATATATATATATATATATATATATATATATATATATATATATATATATATATATATAATAACTAGCTAAGATATAAATAGAATATAAAAACCTAACCTAACAAACTAACTGTAACACTTAACTTTTATATAAACTATATCGACTCGACTAACTTATTCAAAAGATGAATTGCATAAGCTGATTTAACTTATCGGAGAAGTTCCATTATTATACCTTTCTTATTTTTATATAATAATATATAAAAAAAATATTTATTAAAACAGTCTTACAGTGAAATATGTTTATAAAATGCTTTAACTCAAGTAAACGGGAGATTATAGGACATTATCAATGCTTAACACCTAGAAAGAGAAAGGGAAGGACGGAGAGGGAGAGAGAGAGAGAGAGAAATGTAGGTAAAATGTTGGAAAAAAAAACGTAAAGGATATAATAAATTTTGTATGTGAAGTATTCTTATTTATAACTAATAAGAGTTTTAATAATAATAATAATAATAAATATAATGATAATAATAATAAAAAATTAATGTATAATAAAGGGAATATTTGAAATATTTCTCGATCAAATATTTGATAAAAGGTATATATCTCCTTATTTGATGTAATTTGATAACTTATTGATCAAATTAATAATAATAATTTGACGTAACAACAATTGTTACGTCAATATCTAGATGAAAACTTATTTAAAGAAATATAGGTGAAGTATCGGTGCCATTGACAATGTTGGTGTTGCTTTTAAATGAAATTAACACTTTTATATAGGCAACTATTAATTCTTAGTAACTAAAGTTAGTAGGAGTGGTTATTTAAGATGACTGAGAATAATGCTACTTGTATAATTGTATTGTATCAACATTTTGTCCTAAATAGTGTATTTTATTAACTTATAACGAGAGAAAATGAATTGGTTGTTCTTTGTTGAAGCAAATTTGATCTTTCTTTTTCTACTTACTTAGATTTAGAGGTTTGATTGAGGTCCATGAGTATCTTTGGACGTGTTTCGATATGTGTTGAAAAGGAGGGATAATCACCGGTAAAAGTTTTCCAATACTTAAGTTAGTCAATATATCAGTGAATAACAAGTGATAGTAAGTAAGAAATGAGAGAAACACTATACTTTTTTTTTAATAAGATAGTATCTGAGTATAACTACCTGGAATATTTATCCCTATTTTATCTAATTATCTTAATGAAATATAATTATCATGAAATATTTATCTTCATAGAACCAAATATCTCATACCATTATCCTTTAAGAGGAGGTAGGTACACCTTTCATTCAAAACTAGTTGATATTCTTTATATTATGGGCTTTTAATTGGTAAACACATAAGGAAGCCAGTTTTTCTCAAACCGACTATTCAGCATATTCTTCGAGTTTCAACTATATCATTATACTTAATTATAATGCATTGTAGTCACTGTATCAGTTGGTTCAGAATGCACGCATTGTGACTCATGGCTCCCATATTAAAGGAGTCATCAATGCGTTGCGTGCTGGGCAGAGCATTGACTATGGTGGTTAGTTATTGGCAAGCATAAGATATATGGCTTCACTTTCAAACTGTTCAAACCCACTTTAGTAATCACCACCAGACCTACAGACGTGTTTGTTAGGAAACGTGATAAATAAGACGAAACAGAAATAGTTGAGGGAGGATATGAAGATAAGACAAGAGGAGAAGGAATGTATAGGATGTAGTTGTCTTAATTAGTTACAGTTGCACTGTAACATATAATTCATGTCTTTTATTACTCCATACAGCTAATAGGGTAAAAATTGTGATTTTCCTTTTTGGTATAAAAGCCTCATTATTAGTAGCACTAGATCCTAATCTAAAAAATAAAATAGTGGCACTCCTTTAGAGGATATTTCCTTGTTTCTCAAATTTCAAGAAAGCAATATCAAAATTTTCTTGTTTTTCTTTCATGAAATGTAGATAACAAGGGACAAGATTACATTCTTTTCAAATCAAGCATAACCACGATGGAGAGCGAGCAGTAAAGAAACCCAAAGAATAATCAAATAAATACCTGGTAGGGGACTGTAGATGTTTGGCAAAGAACACAACCTTCCAAAAGTATTACCCGATGCCGAAATCATAACCTTAGTAGACAAGGAATAGCTTCTTTTCTGGTACATACAAGGAATAGACTAAGGATAATAGTATCACCCTTTTGTAATTAATGAATAGTATTGCAAACGAGAAACTTTAATTAATATACACAAAGATTTAGTCCCAAATTGCAACTTTAATCAACATACATCCTCATTTGTGATCATTTTGTTCCTTTACTAAATTATAACTCATATTAATTAACTCATTCAAACGCAATAATTTTGTATGCAGGCGTGAAACAGAACTCATTGAAGAAATTGTTGCAGATGTGTGGAAAAAGTTACAACCTAAAC